CACATGCACACACACACACGCACACACACACGCACATGCACACACACACACACAACAGCATCCTGACAGAAACACTGAGGAATTCTCCAGAACCGGCGTCAGGTCTAACGTTACTCAGGTTTTCCTTCACGGACTTTCCGGAGAAAATAACACTTTATCTCCCCGCTGAATGATTAGGCGTAAATGACACTTTATCCTTTCCACACAGTGTTTACTCCTGAAGCTGTTCCGCGCCACAATCAGCAATACACCGCGTACTGACGCTCCGAAACGCGTTCTGGTTCAGTTTAACCGTTTAACCACCACAGGACAGACGTTTTATGGCCCTTCTCGAATATTTAACTCCTTAAACTGACAATAAACTGGTTTAAAAACCACAGCTGAGCGTCGCCGTCACGCGTCTCTCGCGTCTCTCCGGTTTATATGCGCCACTCGCACGCGTTGACGCGTCTCGCGGAGCGCCGCGTGGATCTTTCTGTGAAACTCCGTACGAACTTTCTGCGCTTACCTTCAGCGAACAACAACGCTCTCCTCACGGACCCGTGTGCGCCATCGTAATCCAGATCTCGCGGAAGTGTCGTTAAAATGAACGCGGGCTCTGGTGGATATTTTGATCGGGAGAAATGTGAGATCACGCGTCCGCGCTCCGTTAACAGCTCGAGCCCTACTGCACGGGCACGCGCAGAGGGCAGGGCGCTGTGGACGCGCACTTCGTGTTGGAATGTCGGAAGCGCGCTTTGCTCCCAGACAGTTTTGCTGTGTTTTTCTTCGTTTGAGACATTGATAATCATGATTAAAATTAAATCACTTTTTTTTATTATATATATATATATATATATATATATATATATATATACACGTATATATATGTATTTTAATATAATACGAATTACTTAAATTTAATTTTAAAACCGTATTATATTTTGAGTTTAGTTAACTTTAGTTTGAAATGGGAAATGCATCTCATTATTGAGAGATTTGCAGTATCTCGTTCAGAATAATTTTTTATAACATTTAATACAAGGTACGTGCTAGTGAAAGTAAAGCATTTAACGTGTTAATACAGGCCCAGGTTTGCATAAAATGTGGTTCATATCTGTGTTGTGTTTCATACCTCTCCACTCAATCTCAGGGGCCACAAAGCAGGGCCAACCTCTTAATTTATACAGTATATAGGCCTACATATATAGTACATTTTCCATTTAAATTCATTTTACATTTACATTTTCTATTGTCAATGCAACCAACAAAAAGTTTATGATTCTTGCATGTTTTTACAGTTACAATGGACAAATTAACTGTACATTCTTTACAAATGAACACAATTGTGATGAATTTTGAAGCCAAAAGTAAAAAGCTAAACATAGGCTATAAATGAACTACACATTAAAGGGGTCATATGACGTTACTAAAAAGAACATTATTTTGTGTATTTGGTGTAATGAAATGTGTTTATGCGGTTTAAAGTAAAATAAACACATTATTTTCCACATACGGTACATTATTGTTTTTCCTCTATGCCCCGCCTTTCTGAGCTTCCAACGACTCTTTCTGTCTTGATTTAAAAACATTTTCTCTAAAAGTTTGAGTTATCAAAGTTCAATAGAGCATAATAATAAACACAATGAGGCTGTAAATGCAGACTGGTGAGTAGATGAGTTTACCTGTTCGGTGTGATGCCGTTTAACAAACCCGACAACCTCTGTATTTAGCCATTTGTTAGCAACCGCCGTTTTCCAGAAAGTAAAAGCTTTTTTTTTTAAAAGGGTGTATTTATGCTGTAGTATAAAACATGAGAATATCTTGAGCTTGTGTTCTACACAGACCTTATTTCTGGCAAAACCCCGTTCATAAAACCCAGTGACTTTAGGATGATGGAACTTGAAATGCTAAAATGCTAACTTGTTTGGGGTTTGGCCTGCAAAAATTCATCATCTCTGAAGCCCTCAAAGTAAAGCACAGTAAGTACATACTTGTAGACAGAGAACAGTACAACATGACTGCAAAACCACATACAAATACTATGTGCATGATTATGAAGTGAATGAATGACAGTGTATACGAGAACTTCCACATGATTCAGAAATGCAGTATTCCTGAGGCCTCAAATCCCCCTAACAGACTCATTATGAGTCGGTGAAATCCAAACAGTTTGAAAACAGATCTTTCTGAGAGGTGCATTGTGGGTTGTTTTCAACCTAATGTCTATAGATAACATCAGAAAACACATTTACAGTAATGGGAAACTTCTGATGAAAGCATTCAACATATCTTAATGTTAGAAACCTCAGTGTAATCTCATTGCATTTCGGTTGAGATCTGTTGAACTAATGCTGCTATATTCGAAATCATTCCATGCCGTTTCGTACAATATTCCATACTGTTTTTACTACTTTTATGGAACTTATTTGACCATTATAGAGCTTGACAGCCGCTGGCTGCTATATGCTTTTTATTGTTGTAAAAAAGAGGAGTGTGAACATTACGCTCTTCTTTTGTGTCCCACAGAGGAAAGAAAGGCATAAATTATTCCTGAAAGCCAATAGCTATTTTTCTTTTGAGACAGCTGAAACTCATGCATAAACCATCACTACAAAATTACTCTAATACATATCTGACCGTAGCTCTTCAAGAAAGATCTCAATGCAATTTGAGAAATATTTTTTTCCACAAACCACATTTATAGCAGAATATTGAAGAATGAGAATGACAGAAGTAGACCGTCATCAGTGCGGAAACACGGGAAAATCCTATTCCCCCATGACAGGACAAAGCTGATTCAGAGAAAGTGTTGTGTGTGGGTTATTGGTTTGTGTGACTCCATTGTCTGCGGGTTCAGGGTGGATGTGTATAAGAGACAGGAAATGAGCTCCACATCTCATGATTCACACACGCCACATCCTCACCCTGACGGATCCCCTCTCCTCCTTTCTCCTCTCCTCTTTTGATATGTTGTTTCTCTCATTTGAGGAAATGAAAAACATCTCGAGGGCAAAGGGAGTCTCATTTTATGATTTGATTATGAGTTCTTGCATTCAGTTGGATCCCTGAATTCAAACAGAAGGCCTCAGATCAGCCGTCGCTTTTCACTTTGGGCGAAAGAGAGGAGAAAGAGTAACAGTTTATAAACATGAGAGTTTAAAGGAAAAGTTTACCAAAAATGACAATTCAATTTACTCAGTGTCATGCTGTTACCAACCCAGATTACTTCTGGGTTCTTCTGTGGAACACAAAAAGAGATTTTTTAAAAGCATATTCAGTTTTTTCCTTCCAATTTCAGTGAATGGGGGCCAAAGCATTCAGGCTTAAAAAAAGATGCAAAAACACTATAACATTTTATAAAAAGTTGTCTATATAACTATATTCAAATTGTTCTGAAAATATACAATAGCACTAGTGAAAATGTACTTTTTTTTCAGTGGTAATCACTGAGTCAGTAAGTTGAACTTAAGAATCAGAGTCTGATTCATAAATGAATCATTTGAACTGGTTTTGTGATTAACTGACTCACTGACAAGATCCAATTCAAAATAATTAGCTGTTCACAAATCAGACACAGAAAAAGGTAAGATCAGACATGTTCCAGGTAAGAATTCTGAACAACATGAAGTTTTTGGATGTACTATTCCTTTAATTTTTTATTTTACTTATTATTACTTTTATTTAGCTTTATTTTAGACAGTGAAGGACACAAGGTTTAAAAGGAAGTTAGTCATCTGACCTTCCTGTGCAATGGATGATATACACCTTATTCCTGACAGATGACAGGAAGTCCTGCTGTTTGACAGGAAATGGACATGGCAACAGAGAGGAAATTACACATGTCCCAGAATTGCCAGTGCAGCTGTAGCCAATCTCAAAATTGCTAAATTGTTAACACACAATTGGGAGATATAAACTCACAATTCTGAGAAGAAAAGTCGGAATTGTGATTTTAGTTGCAATTACTTTTATTTTGAATCAATTTAGTTCTAAACTGAATCATGCACTACACAGCCTTTTTGCAGTTGTTTTACAGCAGCATTTAAAATGGTTTCATATTTGAAGTTCACGTCATCATTGATAACATTATTTTCATGTTCATTACTGTGAATCTGCTTCGAAACAGTCTGTATTGTATTAAGGTAACTTGACTATTTTATACAGCACTCTTGCATTACATAAAAACACCAGAGTCACCGTATCTCACCCCAGACATCCGTTTTATTCATATAAAAAAGCCTTAATTAATTCACACCTGCTTTAGCCCAACTGGCTTACAGCTGTTCAGTACCAGCCTTACAGAGTGTGTGCAGCACAGCAGACTGTCTGTGCTGAGAACTATAACACTGCTGTCCCAGAAGGAACAAAATCGAATTAATTAATAGCAACCATCCAGCAAACGAGCTGAAGCAGCGAGAGAATCAGACACTCATCAATGTCTTCATACATTTGTTTTATTGAATTCTTCAAATGTCAAGAACATACAGGGAATTCAGAACTCCGGCACAAAGACACAAGCTACAGATGAACCTGCCTCTCATCACACAAATACAACATTTCACTTTCTTACCTAACATGAAAGAAATTACAAGTATAAAATTGAGCTTAAAATCATGTACCCATGCAGATGAAACCCCCCCATCACTAAAATAATGTTGTTGCTTTTTTTTTTTAATGCATGGCAAACGTGAACTGCTAAATAAAAAAATAAAAATAAGCAGATAAAAACAGCATTGTAAAAAAATAAATAATAGGAAACAATTGAATAATTGCTTGACACAAAATGTGGTCATAGCAGGATAGGAGGGGCTACTGCACGAGGGGTGGGGCCTCTCAATTACCTGTGGGTGAATCAGAGCAGTGCATTATCACACTCTGGTTAATATTCACAGAGAAAGCAGGAATAGTGTGGTGTGCAGCTACCTGTCGAGGCGGTTGACCACATCCCTGACAGTGCTGAGCAGGTGCTGGTGCTCCTGTGGGTTGGACAGAATGATGCCGTGAAGCTTCTTCATGTAGGAGTCGATGGAATCGAGTGTGGGCGTCTCGCCGCTGCCTGCAGGCACATGGGAAGGACAGTCAGGAAAAGTACACCACATATCTTTCACATACTAGTAACATCAGATTCACAGATGAAACATCCTTCTTAGAAACAGAAAGCTTTTATTGTCATTGTATAGCACTTTCTATTTGAATTTCTATTTCTGTTTCTAATGATTTTACCATTGCATCTGATTCACAGATGAAACATCCTTCTAGTCAGTTGTTTTTAGAATTTAGGATCACAAAGCTTGTATAAATCACACAAATGTGACCCTGGAGCACAAAACCAGTCTTAAGTTGCTGGGGTATATTTGTAGCAATAGCCAAAAATACATTGTATGGGTCAAAATTATAAATTTTTCTTTTATGCCAAATATCATTAGGATATTAAGTAAAGATCGTGTTCCATGAAGATATTTTGTAAATTTCCTACTGTAAATATATTAACACTTCATTTTTGATTAGTAATATGCATTGCTAAGAACTTCATTTGGACAACTTAAAAGGCGATTTTCTCAATATTTTGAATTTTTTACATCCTCAGATTCCAGATTTTCAAATAGTTGTATCTCAGCCAAATATTGTCCTATCCTAACAAACCATACATCAATGGAAAGCTTATTTATTAATAAAATGGACACTTAAGACTGGTTTTGTGGTTCAGGGTCACAAATATAATGAAGAAGCTTGTTTGGAAATAAAACAAAGCAAACCTTTTAATTGAAAAGATTTTGTTGTAAATATATTTTATTTATAATATTCATTTAAATTGCTCAAACGTGACAGTAAATGCATTTAGAATGTTACAAAAGATTTCCATTTCAAATAAATGCTATTCTTTTGAACTTTCCATTGATCGTAGAATCCAGAATAAAATTGTATCATGGTTTCCACTAAAATATGAAGCACAGCTGTTTTCAACACTGATAAGAAATTTTATGAAATGTAATAAGCAGCAATATTAATTATTCAATATTTAATTAATTATTCAATATTAATTAATTTATTAATGGGAACAAGCATAATCAGGATCTTGACATGTATTATTTATCTAAATATTGCAAAGGTAGCATTTGTTTAAATTTTTCTTGAAGTTTACAGAATTTAGGAACAATTAAATCATGACTCAAATGAAGTGAATCACTGAAGTGATTCAAACTAAACAGATTAATTATATAATTAATATACATTAAATACAACTAAACACACATGCTATACTTACTATTATATCACAATAAATTATATATGTAATATTTATCTAGGTATCTAGTATTTCTCATACACAATTAAGTCATGACTCAAATGAAGTGAATCACTGAACCAATTCAAACAAAATAAACCAAATCTCTAAAGTGAATCAGACCGTTTAAATGAACCCAGCTGGCTAGAGGTTTTTGCAGTGAACTCTGGGAGTGTGTGTGTGTGTGTGTGAGTGTCTCACCGGGCAGGGGGACGGCAGAGAAGCTGTGTGTGAGGGCCGAGCGCAGGGTGTCCAGATGCTGCTGCAGGAGGCTGTTTCGCGTGCCTTCCTGCTGCACGTCTCCTTCCATGCGCTCAACGGCAGAACGCATGCTCTCCACATGCTTCTGCAGCGCCGCGTTACGCTCTTCATACTCCATATTCGTCTTTCTCAGCTGCCGCAGTTCAGCCTCACGTGCTAGAACACACACAATCAATGAACGTGTATCACACCATTACAGACAGACTCACATTCAACAGCACTCTATTCTCACCTTTACTGTGATTCAGAAACTCTTCAGTGAAGATGGGAATATCAAACACAGAGCGATCCTTTATCTCGAGATCCTTCTGAGAGACAGTCAGAAAGTTGTTCAGTCTGAAATCATTGCTCAAACTGCCATACATAGACCTGCTCTGCACCCACAGAATTACAATGGCCGTCAAAATGTTCTACACGTCCTCTGCTGCTTACAAGTTTGTTTACTAAATGTGACCCTGGACCACAAAACCAGTCATAAGGGCCAAATTTTTCGAAATTGAGATTCATGCATCATCTGAACGCTGAATAAATAAGCTTTCCATTGATGTATGGTCTGTTAGGATAGGACAATATTTGGCGAGATACAACTATTTGAATATCTGGAATCTGAGGATGCAAAAAAATCTAAATACTGAGAAAATCGCCTTTTAAGTTGTCCAAATGAAGTTCTTAGCAATGCATATTACTAATCAAAAATTAAGTTTTAATATATTTACAGTAGGAAATTTACAAAATATCTTAATGGAACATGATCTTTACTTAATATCCTAATGATTTTTGGCATAAAAGAAAAATAAATAATGTTGACCCATACAATGTATTTTTGGCTATTGCTACAAATATACCCCAGCGACTTAAGACTGGTTTTGTGCTCCAGGGTCATTATTTGACCCTAGCCAATACTTTGGCTAAATTGATCATATTCCAGCTATCAATAACAGTGCAGTAACCTCAACATCATTTAACACAAATTTGATCATATTTAAATAAGGATTTCCACATCTTCTGACCAACACATTTCTATTTTCCAGTTGTTTGTGATTACTGGATCATTTTAGTGTAGTGTAGTGTTAATAGTGTAGCCTATTAAATATTTTATCAAATTTTCAAAAGACAAAAAAAAAGAAATACAAAAATGTATATTAAAATATAAATTAAATAAAAAATCTAGAGAAATGAATCAAATAAAAGTCAAGAGTTTTCCATGACCGTGTAAGATTTTATTAAAGGTGCTGTATGTAGGATTGACACTGAGTGGTTGAACTAGGTATTGCAGTCCAAATTCAAAATATTGGAGAGGGTCTTTTTTCACCCGGCCCCTCCTCCTCAGACTTGACACACTCGCAGGTTGCCAGATTGAAGACACCAACAGGAACGAGCGCACTTGAGGATGAATGAAATTAAATACACTGTGTTTTCCGCCAACTGGCAACCCGGGGTGCCGAAATACATTTGGGTAAACTGGCAGTGGGCGGGTTTCACAAACCAAAACAGAGACCGATATTCCGGCACGGAACGCACATTTTCAAAGGAGAATAACTGACTGTAGCATAGTTTTTCAGATAAACAAGTATGTTAACTTAGCATGTTTCTTAAATATCTGCAAACATATTATGGTATTTTTATGCTTTAGTAGAGTCAAAAACTTACATACAGCACCTTTAATTCATTTAGTTATTAATTTACATGACTTTTCGAGTAGTTTATGGTTAACAGATAATTTCATAAACAAGTTGTATAAAAATGTAGCTAATTAAATATTTCAGTTTTCCATGACTTAATTTCCATTAATTTTTCTAGTAGTTTGAAATGACTGAATAAAAAAAAAAAAAAACAATTTATAAAAAAAATAGCTAATTAAATATTTCAGAAAAAAGTAGTTATATTACAATTTTCTATGACTTTATTCAGATTTTAATCATTTCTGTGGATTTTGTAGTCATTTTCCAGTAGTTTATGACTACTTGATTTTTTTCATTAAAATCTCTTTATAAAAAATTGTAGCTAATTAAATATTTTAGCCTTATTTTATTATATTATTATATTTTATTATGTAGTATTATATTTATTCAAATAAATAAAACTACAAAAATAGACAAGATATTGAATATAGTTAGTCATGACTTTTCTATGACTTTCTATTTTTTATTTTCCATTACTTTTCCAGTCTTTTGTGATTATTAGATAACATCATAAAAATCATTGCACGAAAATGGCAAATTAAATATTTTAGAATAATATAAAAACATATAAAGAATAAAAACAGATGTTGACTAAAGAGTTTAGGATTTTATCATTTTTTTTCCATAACATTTCCAGACTTAAAAAACATAATTATCTGTTAATTCCAGATTTTCTATGACCTGGAAAAAAAAAGGTGCAGATTCTGTGTGGGCCTCGGTGTCGATATTTTACCTCATGAAGTGATTCACCAGGCACCTGCCTTCCAGCATCTGATAAAGAGTGCGAAAGAGGAATTTTAGATTAGACAAGCGATTTGTGATGCTCCACATTTTGTCAGTCTCTTCATTTCTATTTTTGAGTTACTGTGTAGCACCACCCTCTGTGAAACCTCATTGGTTCAAAATCCTGCTCCGCACTGCTTTACAGGAAACATCACATGTGCTCTGATTGCCTGTGACTGTCACTCTTTTCTGCAGCTTTGTCTAAATTCACCTGCCATCAGTTATTTTGAACTGTGCCTTAGATTGTCCGTGTTCGCACCTCCTCTGTGTCTCTTTCCTTTTTGTTTCTCTTGCACCTTCCTGCTGAAGTGTTTATAGGCTTCAGTCTTCTGATACTGCTCCAGTTCTCTCATGTAGCGCTCCTTATCTTTGTCCGCTTCATCCAGATAGCGCTGAGACAGAGAGCGGTGTTAGTCTCTGCAGAGGTTTTAAACTTTATTTTGAAACCTTATACACTGGTGATCAAAAGTTTGGAATTATTAAGATATTTTAATGTTTTTGAGAGAATTCTCTTATGCTCACCAAAGTAAAAATACAGTAAAAATCTGTAATATTGTGAAAAATTATTACAATTTAAAAGAACTGCTTTCTATTTGAATATATTTTAAAATGTAATTTATTCCTGTGACACAAAGCTGAATTTTCAGCATCATTACTCCAGTCTTCAGTCACATGATTCTGTTATTTTCTGGAAAAAAAATAAATAAAAAAATCATGGCTGCCACAAAAACATTAAGCAGCACACCTGTTTTCAACATAATATTTATTGAGCAGCAAATCAGCATATTAGAACGATTTCTGAAGGATCATGTGACACTGAAGACTGGCGTAATGATGCTGAAAATTCAGCTTTGCGTCACGTTACATGTTAAAACATATTACTATAGAAAACTGTTTAAATTGTAATAATATTTCTCAAACACAAACACATAAAAAACATGAATTGTTCCAAACGTTTCAACGGTAGTGCACAGTGGTGTGAAAAAGTGTTGGCCCCCTTCCTGATTTCTTATTTTTTTGCATGTTTGTCACACTTTAATGTTTCAGATCATCAAACAAATTTAAATATTACAAAGATAATGCAAGTAAATACAAAATGCAGTTTTTAAATGATGATTTCATTTATTAAGGGAAAAAAGCTGTCCACAGGACAATGATCCCAAACACACCAGCAAGTCCACCTCTGAATGGCTCAAGAAAAACTAAATGAAGGTTTTGGAGTGGCCAAATCAAAGTCCGGACTTAAATCCGATTGAGAGGCTTAAACAGTCCATTCATGCTCGAAAACCCTCCAATGTGGCTGAATTAAAACAATTCTGCAAAGAAGAGTGGGCCAGAATTCCTCCACAGCTATATGAAAGACTCATTGCCATTTATCACAAACACTTGATTGCAATTGTTGCTGCAAAGCGTGGCACAACCAGTTATTAGGTTTAGGGGGCAATTACTTTTTCACGTAGGGCCAGGCAGGTTTGGACAGCTTTTTTGCCTTAATAAAATAAATCATCATTTAAAAACTGCATTTTGTATTTACTTGCATTATCTTTGTGTAATATAAAAATGAGTTTGACGGAAGGGGGCCAACACTTTTTCACACCACTGCATGTATTACACATGTGTATCCTGACCTGTTTCTCTTCCGGAGGCAGTTTGCTCCACTCATTCCCGAGCATCCTGGTGATCTCTGGGAAAGGCATGTCTGGTCTTTCCGCCCTCAGCTGCTCGCGGTGCTCATTCATGAAGCGCACGTATCCTGTTAAGGGGGCTTTGGGGGCGTTACTGTCCTTCAGTGGCTTCTTCCTCCTCCTGCCTTTGGTCCAGCTGCTTCTGCGAGATTTCTACCAAAAACACCATTCACTCAACTCATTAATGCCGCTCGACCTGTGCAAAGACGGCGCGGGCTCAACGATCACATGATCTGCTCACCTCCTCTCCATTGCGCTGGCTGCTGTTGTCTGTGTTGGCCCCCGGTGACCCACTCTGCTCCTCCATGACCTCTGACCTTTAGTTTCACATATAGCAGTGATGTAAAAAGAGAAGACGACTGGATTCAGCGTGTAAAAATAAATCAGAGCTACCGTAATAAAACAGTACATTTACATGCACAACATTTGATTGATTATCATATTTGATTACATTTCGATGATGTTTATTAACTATAAGAATATTAATATATATTACATAATACTATATATATGTTTTGATCTTATACTTACATAGTGCTTGAATATACACATATTACATATACATATATTCATAATACATTAATAAAAATAAAATGTATTCATATAAATAAAACCTCTACATAAATATATAAAGCAACAAAACGTACATTTATATCATGTATAATATACATTATATAATATTATATATTAAATCGTTTTCAAAGATATATTCACAAGTACATATAAAAATAAACATATAAAATACAAAATAAATATAGAAACACACACACACACATATATATATATATATAATAAGTCAAAATATACATTTAAATAAAAGGTCATATATATATATAATATCATTTAATTTCATTCACATGTGTTTCATAAACACATAATCCTTTCTGGATTACAATCCGCCATCAAAATGATACATTTAATTATTCCGGCTGCTGTGAGAAAAGGCTATAAACGATCGGCCACCTGCAGGATCCTCACATGCGATATTCTAGTAGCCGGGACAACTTCATGTTTACAGACGTGACGTAATGACGCAGTGCCATGCTCGAATTTCCCGCGAAAACCTACCCGTACCACTCAAATTAGAAAACATTATTATAAGCTAATCATTGTGAATCGGGCTAAAGTAAGGCGATAGTTTTGAACACTGGCTGGTTATGCACTTGCTCAAATATTGATTTTGGATCATTTTTAACCAAAAAAAGTTGCGGACTGCAGCTTTAAGTATATATATTTATTTATATTTTTCATGTATGCATGCATGCACGTATTTGGTTATTTATTCATTCAATTTTCTATTTATAAATATAGATATATTGGATATAAATATATCTATTTGCTAGAGGCAGCCCTTCTTTTTCCCCACTTTTTATTTAATGGACATGTTCACCAAAGCTGTTATTTGAACAGATCACCTTCACACTCTGACTCTCTCTTCACAGCAGGTCTAAAGTAACCTAAAGTGTTGAAGGAAGGTGTGAATTACAGTTGACTGTGCATGTGCTGAGGGTAAAGACAATTCACGTTTCCATAAACACTTTCCATTATGTCTGAAAGAATTACAGACATCTGAAAATGTGCTGAAGGCTGTGATTAATCCATGTGGTCTGAGGGATCAGTTTCGTGTCCATATAAATGATATCACAGTGACAGATAGTCTTTCTGCTGCTGCTGCTCAGGCCCCAGGGCTTGGGAAATGTGAACATCATTTCATGAAGTTAATGAGGTGACCCTTTGCCTGGATGGGGGCATGTTTTTGTTATTTATTATTGTTTTGGGAGAATAAGGTAGCTGCGTTTACAGCCGAGATTCTGGAATGGTTTGGCGTCAGGATGAAGATTTTTACATACAACAGTCAAGTGGTGACTCAACAGAGCACCAGAACTGTTCATAATAATTTGTAAAAAAAAAATAATAATAATTTAAATGCATCTTTAAATTCAAAATAAAAAGTACAATTAAATAAAATATTATTTAATTGTATTATAAATTATAACAACAACAACAACAACAACAATACTTTGATATTTAGATGAAATGAAATGAAAATTACAAAATAATTAGAATATGTAATAATAAATAATAATAAATGTAACTGAAATGAAAATAAAATGAATAGTTAAAATATTAAATTATAATAACAATAATATACATTAATATAAAAATGAAAAATCATACAAATAATAATTAATGTAACAAAAATAATTTAAAAGATAAATAATAATTACAATTTATCATTAAATGAATAATAAAATAATACACAAACACTTAAAATAATAATAAATTATTAAACAAAATATTTAAGAATTTAAGAATACATAATAATAATAATAAACGTATCATTCAAATTAAATGGCACAATTTTTTAAAAATGACATTAAAATGATAATTCAAATATGTAATAATAATAATAATAACAATAAATATTCAATGACATTTCATTACATTAATATAAAAATAAAATAAAAATCAGACAATAATAATAATAATAATGATAATCAAATAAAATGGAAATTAACTAAGAATAATACAAATCTATATATATATATAAACATTTGTATTTTTCATTATTATTATTGTTTATAAATAAACAATAATAATAATGAAAAATACAAATGTTTATGTAGTCCTAACTGGCACAATTAATTATTATTATTTTGGGTCATGACCCCCCCAGTGCAGAACCATAATGATCTGTAGGGGACAGTAGTGAGCTGCTTAACAATCAAATGATTTTTTTTTCACTATGTGAAAAATAAATCAGTTTATTGATCAGTTACAGCAATTTCATGAGTTATCAGCTTGCAATATCATTAATCTGAACTCTGCCGATGAGAACTTGTTAAAGTGTCACAGACGTTTCTCACAATATACATTTTATATGATTTGATTATTGTTATTTTGCCATTTAGCGACTTATAGCGGATCAATGCCAGAGATTGTGAGTGTCCCTGGAGTCCCCCTGCACCAGACGCCTGATGGATTGTAAAAATCAACGCTGATAATCAACTCTCCAGCCTTTCATGTTGCTAAACTCCAGAAAAACATTCACCCAAAAATGATACATAGTTCATGTCATTCCGAACCATTATGACTTTATTTGGGTGAACTATTCCTTAAGACTCTTAACAAATCTAGTTGTGCAGGTATTGCGCGTGTGCCTGTCTGTTAGTCAGAGGAGGTTTGGGTAAGCAGATCTGGGGCAGAACCTCTCTCTGCATGTGTCTGTGTGATGTGTGTATCTCTCTTTACCCGTGTTCCTGACAGCTCTTTGACAGCAGTTTGAGTCTGTTAGCTCACGCTGAGCCAAAAGCCTCTGTCTGCCTCTGTTTAATGTCTGTTCACTATTTCACCTGATAAAAGAAGTGTAGTAAATACATTAACCTTGAGCTCAGGAAATAGAAAAAGACAGGAAAACTATTGAAACAAGTATCCCAGTAAGATTGTGGTCTGCAGAAAAACGAACTGATTTTGAACAAATCAGTTTTTCTTGTAAAAAAATACAAAAACACAAATCTGGTGTTTAAATAATACATTTTAATCAGACTAAAGTATTTCAACCAAATTGTGGCATTAAATTAAATTTCCTAGCTAATCTTATAAGGTTTAACAAATAAAGAAGATCATTTTTTCATATCTTGACCATATATTTTGTTTATTAACCTACTGTAGAAAATAGAAAATATTATACTAGTTCAGGGCAACCTTTCAAAATCACTCTCAGAAAAATAAGTACAAAAGCTGTCACTGGGGTGATACCTTTTCAAAAACTTTTGTACCTTTTAGGTACTTATATGTACCTTTAAGGTACCAATATGGACTCTTTAGGTACAAAAGTGTGCCTTTTGAAAAGGTACCGCCCCAGTGACAGCTTTTGTACCTTTTTTTCTGAGAGTGTATATGTAGCCTACTTATTTGAACACACACACACACACACACACACACACACACACACACAGGTTTGTTTTTATGGTTTATGGGGACTCTCCATAGGCGTAATGGTTTTTATACTGTACAGACCGTATATTCTATTGCCCTACACCAACCCTACCCCTAAACCTACCCCTCACAGGAAACTTTCTGCATTTTTAGATTTTCAAAAAAAACTCATTCTGAATTATTTATAAGCCTTTTGAATTACGGGGACACTGAAAATGTCCTCATAAATCACCTTCTCGTTGTAATACCTATGTTATACCCATGTTATTATACAAATTTGTGTCCTCATAAACCACATGCACACACACACACACATTTTATACAAAATTATATCTGGCGTCTGAATAATTTTTGGTTTGACTGAATATAGCTACATATGTTTGTAAAAAATACAAAAAACGCGCAATTTTTTTTGTCAGATTGAGGCTTTTTTTCCCACAATACTTTAGCATTAAATTAATATTCTTAGATAATCTTAACAGAACAACTAATAGGGTAAACAAATATTTTCATATCCTGACCCTCTATATACCCTACTATAGAAAATATACTTGTTCAATCCAAAATGTTCGCAATGTTTTTTGTAAATAATACAACACACACAAATATGGGGGTGTGGTATTTATTCAACACTACTTTGGCATTCATTTATTTTCTTAGCTAATCTTAAAGGAATAGTTCACCCAAAAATGAAAATTTGCCGAGAATGTACTCACCCTCGGGCCATCCAAGATGTAGATTGACTTTGTTTCTTCATCAGATGTGTAGAAATGTAACATTACATCGCTTGCTCACCAATGGATCCTCTGCAGTGAATGGGTGCCGTCAGAATGAGTGTCCAAACAGATGATAAACATCGCAATAATCCACAAGAAATCAACACCACTCTAGTCCATCAATTAATGTCTTGTGAAGTGGAAAGCTGCTTGTTTTTTTTCTGGTACAATCCAACATTTAACAATGTGGCCACTTATTTGAGTACAATAAATCCACCTGAAGCAGCTTCTCACATCTTCAGAATTATAAACCCCAAATCAAAGTCATCATTGACATTATGACCAGGTCTCATGGTTTATTCATCAGTATCAAGTTAATGAAGCTGATATTTCAGAGAACATCACAGGAGGAGTTGAAAGTGTCAGAGGTCAGTGTTGCTGAAAGGACACAGATGTCTGTCCAGATGTCTCTGATGCTCTTCATATGAACATGAGAGGTAATGTACAGTCAGCAGATCCTCTTAACAAACACTCTAATGTAAAAAACATCATATACGATCTTTTTAATTGCATGCCTGTACACGTTTTACAGCAAAGTGAGTGTGATGATGCAAAAGATGGAGTTTATTTACCATGACACATTACTGAAATTAACCCAGGACAAAGAAGACAAGGTGCGTACTAATTACATCTTAATATTTAAACACTCTCTGAAACAAGGGACACACATTAAAA